TTTTTTAAAAAACGTGTTTGTATATGGTCAGTGTTTTGTAATTGGTTGATATTTCCTAAATCTGTTCATCTATAGGTTCCCCTCCAACTTTTTATTCTCTTCGCAATTAATTTGTTGAAACAGGTCATTTGTCTTATAGACTTTAGATAGTCTGGATTTTGCTGACTGCCTCCCTGTGGTATCATTTAACATTCTTCTGTCCTATACATCTCCTGTAAGTTGGAAGTTGGGTTTATCTGTTAATTTAAACATCTCCTGAGAGGCCTTCTACTTGAAATGTTGTGCAGTTGTTTTCCTGTAAAGATCTTGCATATGTAAAGGATACAAATGAATTATGCGCCTCTGCCCTAGGTGTTTGCATTGAAGAAAACATTGTTACCCACTTGTTAACTCCCGCCCCCGGCCCCTGGGAGGCAGCAGTTTAGGCTGCAGCTTTTTTCTTAATGGACTCTGTAAACAATGTAGGAGTGAACGCTGTGGCTCGGGCCCTGGGCTGTGGAGGTGGTTGTGTTAACCGTGTAGATATGCGTCTTGTCCTCACAGGGCTGTTGTTTGAGATGGGAATAATAGCTCCAGACTTAATCACAGGCCTTCATCTCTTAGCCATGATTTCAAACCCCTCTTCCCCATTTTTTCCCCCTGAATTAGTTTGGTGGTAAAACCTGGCCTGACCTGATGTGGGGCTCTTTGTATATTTGTGTTATTGTTCTCGTTTGGTATGAATATTCACACAATTCACTGCGGAAATATGAATGGTGCCTGGTTATGGTGTGGCAGCTCCTTCTTTGTTATAAAATCTATGATATATATACCAGGTTACCTTTCTGACTCCTGGAAAATTAGGGGTTAGAGACCAATGATGACTCCTGGGATTAGTACCACAACAGCAAGGACAGGGTTTGTGAATGAGCATCAGCAGGAGTTTCTGGGATAACCTTACGCAGTCGTTGTGGAGGTTTTCCCTGAGGAGCGACACTCAGCTAAGACTTAAAAGATGAACTACAAGAAAGTGGGGTGAGCTTTGCAAAGGCCTTATTACATAGGAAATCATTCTCATTTATTCATTAGAGCGGGTTCTCTCCAGACTTCTGCTTAATGGGCAAGCCTGAATTCATCCATGTGGCAGGGCTAGGGCAGCTGAGGGGGATATGGCCCCTGCCCTCAGGTTCAGTAAAGAACTAGGATAAGTCCAAAAGTCTAGTCTAAACTTCCCCTCTGTGTGGGGAACACTCTTCCACCCCTATTCCTAGGGCTTCTACTTCATAAGCTCCTGGTAATGATGATGATTTCATCGTGCATACTTGTATTGAGTGTTTTGAGTGGGGCTCTGTGCCAGGGAGTGGGCCCTAAGATGAATGAACTGTAGTCTGCGACTAGCAGACACAGTACTAGGGATGATTCTTTGGCAGCCATTAAACTGAGTATCAGAAAGGCCTACTGGAGACATGGTTGTACTCTAGGGAAAACCGAGAGCACAGACTTCATTGCAGCCCCCAGGGAGTCAAGAGTGGTGGGGGGCACAGAAGCCAGGCCTGGTCCCAGCCTTCAGGGGATCCCCATCTTTGGCAGTCAGTGCCGCAAAAGGCTCTCCTTCTACCACCTAGGTAATGTGAAGCACCTGGTTCTCTTCCTCCACGAGGCTGTCCTGGTACAGTACGTGGACACGCTCAAGCTCGCAGTGCCCTCTCTCATCTATACCTTGCAGAATAACCTCCAGTATGTTGCCATCTCCAACCTGCCAGCTGCCACTTTCCAGGTGAGCCCCAAAGCCCAGCATGGCCCCAGAGGAACTGGCTGGGTTGTGGGATAGAGTATGGGGGCAGGGGGTGGGCTGTGTCACCTTTGGAATGTCCTTGGAACTTCCTCAACCTGTAGTTTCCTCATCTATGATAACTGGGGATGGAAATAGTAATACCTACTCACTGGGATGCTGGGATGATTAAAAGAACAATACCTATGAAGAGCCCTTGGTTGGTGATAGATCAGCTTTAGACTTATTTAGGCTATTCACTGGCAGCCCTGTGAAATAAAGAGCCTGGATTGTGGGGCCAGGCTGCCTAGGTTCAAATCTCAGCTCTGCTACTTTCCAGCTGTGTGATTTTGGGCATGTCACCTAACCTCTCTGTGCCTTAGTGTTCTCATTTTTAAATTGGAGATTACAATGGTGCCCACTTTGTATGTTGTAGTGAGGATTAAAAACTAATTCATGTAAGGTGCCTAGACCCACACCGGCACATAGCAAGCACTGTGTATTGTTGACTTTATTGTTGTAGTTTTTGATTCATTTCTATCAAGACCTCCCTTATCACAAAGATTACCTACTTCTGGGCATTTTACATACCTCAGCCATACTCAGCCATACTTTATAGACGATGATGCCAAGGCTCAGACAGGGCAAGTGCTTTGTCCCTGGTTACACAGTCAGGAAATGGGGTTGGGATGTGGACTTCCTGGCACAGCCATCCTTCTGTGCACTTTCTGGGAGGGACCTCAGAGCTCTTTAGCTGCAGCTCAGCCAGTGGCCAGTGTGGCTGGCTACTTCTGCTGTTTTTGTTGTCATCTATGCCACTCTGTCCTTCTGTTGTTCCTGGGGGCCCACAGTGGGTGCTTCCCCCCATGTGTACCTGTTGGGGGTCGAGGTCAGCCCTCAGTGCCTTCCACATGCCACTCGCAGGTGACGTACCAGCTGAAGATCCTGACCACGGCACTGTTCTCCGTGCTCATGCTGAACCGCAGCCTTTCCCGGCTGCAGTGGGCCTCCTTGCTGCTCCTCTTCACTGGTGTCGCCATTGTCCAGGCACAGCAAGCCGGTGGGGGAGGCCCACGGCCACTGGATCAGAACCCTGGGGTGGGCCTAGCAGCTGTCGTGGCCTCCTGTCTCTCCTCGGGCTTCGCAGGTGTCTACTTTGAGAAGATCCTCAAAGGCAGTTCAGGCTCCGTGTGGCTGCGCAACCTGCAGCTGGGCCTCTTCGGCACAGCACTGGGCCTGGTGGGGCTATGGTGGGCTGAGGGCACTGCTGTGGCCCGCCGCGGCTTCTTTTTTGGGTACACGCCTGCTGTCTGGGGCGTGGTGCTCAACCAGGCCTTTGGTGGCCTATTGGTGGCTGTTGTTGTCAAGTATGCCGACAACATCCTCAAGGGCTTTGCCACCTCCCTGTCCATTGTGCTGTCCACTGTTGCCTCCGTTCGCCTCTTTGGCTTCCACGTGGACCCATTATTTGCCCTTGGCGCTGGGCTCGTCATTGGTGCCGTCTACCTCTACAGCCTTCCCCGAGGTGCAGCCAAAGCCATAGCTTCCGCTTCTGCCTCAGTCTCCACCTCTGGGCCCTGCATTCACCAGCAGCCTCCAGGGCAGCCACCGCCACCGCAGCTGTCTTCCCACCGTGGGGACCTCATCACGGAGCCCTTTCTGCCAAAGTCAGTGCTGGTGAAGTGAGGGCTGGCAGTGGTGGGGGGACAGGGACGGGGACTGGGTGGAGGGTATTGGGCATCTGCAGGACCCAAGTCACCACAGGCCTGGCTCCTCTGGGCTTGGAAGACTGTCTTTTCTCCCAGGTCATTGAGACTTTTGGAGGGGGTATAGGACTAGGGCTGGGTGTCACACAAACCTTTCTTGGTAGGCTGATGTCCCCTGCCCTGGAGGGGTTTTTAGAGCTGCCTCCTCTGCCTCAGCCTAACCTCTTTGGGGACAGGGTTAGGGGTATTGTCATTCAAGGCCTTTTTTGTCTGTCCCCTTGTTGGAGGTGTCCTGTCTCTCAGTGACTGGGAGAGTCCCTCCCAGCAATCCCTCCACCTTTGTAAGGAAAGACTGGACAAATCCTGCAGCTCTTGAGTAATGATGAATGCCCACCTTTGGGGTTATTTCCCATAGTTTGAGGCCTTCTCTTCTCCCTCACCACTGCACTGGATCATGTTAGCAGTTTGGTCTGTTATGTTTCCTTGAGGCAGCTTCCCTGACACCAAGACCCTTAGAGACCCTTGAAGACTGGCCTCTTTCAAGTGCTCAGGGAAAGAGAAAGGGGTGAGAGCTGGCTGTCCGGGGGAGGGTGCTATAGGGGCCATTTGTTTTTTAGTGGTTTTGGGATTTGGGGTATAATCAGATCATTAATGATCCAGGGTGTGGTGGGAAAAGCAAGGAGGGCAGATCCTTGAAATGGCTAAGTCTCATAGAATTTAAGACACTGTCAGTTGCCGGATGCAGGGTTATTTTCTGGGACATCCAGAGAGGAAAAATAAAGCTGCCAATCACATTCTTGATACCCTATTGGCTGTCTGAGGCACCCTTACTTCGTGGGGGGGGTTATATTAGACTTGAAGTGTGGAACCCACCCCCTGCACTCCCCAAAGCTTATTAACCCCTTAACTGTATCCCAGGGTGGGGGGGTATGTGTGCATGGGAGATGCCTGGGCTGTCTTTGCTATATGTAAATAGGGCCATTGGATCTTTATTTTTGATTAATTTGTTCTGATTTTTTTGTTTGTTTTCTAAGGAACTGTAATGAACAAAAATGTCAGGATTCCCGATGCCAAATAAAGATGTTGTATTTATTTAGTCCATGTGTAGCTTTCTGACCAGGGGACCCAAGGATACTAACCCAAGGACTACCAGCCCCACTACCACCATGCTCCCTTGCTCAGGAAACCCCCCTGCCAGCCCACCCCAGCATTCTGTGTTTTTCTTTCTTCTCCGTTCCCACCACAGGTTGCTCACCAAGGTGAAGGGTTCGTAGCTGCTGGGATTGAAGACGTTGGCCTGGCCTCGCTCTCCCTTCTTGCCCTGGCCCAGCTGGGACCAAACACTCTGATCAGTATTAGGGGTAGGGTGAGGTAGACACCAAAATCCCTGTCCCCATCACCCCCACCTCAGCCCTCAGCCCCTGCCACCCCCACACTATTTTTTAGGTGAGTTTTTGCAAATAAAATGTGTTTTGCATCATGCCGGCTTGGGAAAGCTCGAAAGAGCAAGGGAAGGAGGGAAGGAGGGACATGCTCAGGCCTCATGGACATGATCACAGAAGCTTTTTATTAAAAACCCTAGGCCTGGGGGAGGGCAAAGATTCAGTCTTGCTGCTTGGTTCGGGAGGCCTCGGCGTTGGCCCGGAGCACAGCCCCTGGCGATGGGTAGGGACGCTGCTGGAAGAGGGGCCCAGCTGCTGTTGTGTCAGCACCAGTCTTGGCCTCATTCCGCTTGGGGAGTCCTGTTGACCACGTGCCCCTGCAGGTGACAGTGTCGGGGAGGGAATAGAGGATGTGGTTGGTGGTCACCACCCACCAGGCCTGACTGAGGAATGGGGGAAGGAGACAGGAGGAGAGGCATGGTGTTCGCCTGTGCGGTGAGGAACATGAGGAAAAAGAAGAGCTTGTGAGGGGCTGTTGCTTACCGGGGCGCGTCCGAGTATGAGCTGGGGTCCATTGGGTCTAACTCTTCATCCTTTCGGCTTGCCACTGTGGAAGCAAGTGGCAGGGCGAAGTCTTCAGTCGAGGCACGAGGAGCCCCTGATCACTGACCCAATGCCCCAGGAAGAAATGGAGCCTGTGGCTGCCTTGCACCACAGCACACCCCTCCCGGCCCGGGGCCAGGCACCTGCCTGAGGGAGGGCTTCCTTACATTGCCGGTGCCCTGGCACCTCGCTTGCTTCGCTCGAGCCCTGGCCTGCTCTGCTTACCCTTCTTGCTCTTAGGGTAGGGAGCCAGCTCCTCCCGGCGATGGTGGCGCCGTTCTTTGCCCTCTTCCCGGTCCGCCTTGTCATATCCACGGTCCCGATCCCGTTCCCTGTCCCGCTCTCTCTCTCTGTCCACCTTGTCATAGCCACGTTCTCGATCTCTGTCAGACTTGTCGTGGCCCCGGTCTGACTTGTCGTGGCCCCGGTCTGGCTTCTCATGGCCCCTGTCAGACTTGTCATGGCCCCGGTCTGACTTGTCATGGCTGCGGTCCGACTTCTCCTCAGCATCTGGGGACATGAATCTTGAAATGATCTTCTCCTCCTCCCACCCCAGGACCCAGCAGCCTCTGCCTTCAACAACCTCCCCTGCCTGGGGCTTAGCCTGCCTGGCCTCACTTCTCCCTCCCTGATCCACTATATTTGGCCCCTCTCTGAGAACTGCTAGAATCACTCAAGGCACCCTTGGATCTGCCAACTCACCTGCATTACTGCTCCTGAGCTTCTTGGCAGATTTGGTAACGACGAAATTGGGGTCATGTGGGGAGAGCCAGGACACGAGGTCTGTGTCCACATTCCAGTAGTAAGGGAGCCCGCTGTGGGGCAGTGGGAGGGAAGGAGTGTCAGCACAGATGTCCTCTTTGTATGCTCAACTCTTGTCTCCCCAGTCTCTGCCTATACCTGCTCCATGTCAGGTCCCCACAGGGAGGATCCCCAGATCTTGTCCCGTGTCCCCCATATAGCCCATGGCCAGGGTCAACACAAGAAGGGCAAAGTCAGAAGTCAGCTCCCCTTGCCCCCTGCCCAGGTACCCGGGCTCACCAGGAAGGGTCGAACACCTTGTACCAGCTAGGTGGCAGGCCCTCCAACCGGGTGGCCTCATAGTCCACAGGATCATCATCATAGTCCTCAGCAATGATCTCTTCCTCTGGTTCTGGCAGAACAAGGCCAGGGGGAGAAGGACGATAACAGTTAAGGACCAGGAGAATTATCCTACAGGGCCTGGACAGACATGCACACTCATGTTCACACAAACCACACGTGGAAGACAAGTGTGCGTGTGCATATGCACACCAGGAAACATACGAAGTATCTCTCACATTCCAAATCCAACTATATCCGTATTAGGGGATTTACAAAAAAATTTACCTAAATGTGTTGTTTCTGGATTCAGATGATGAGTTATACTGTTATCCAGACCTGTCTGGTTTCAGAGTTGATAGGGATTGATCAAAAATTTTATCCATATCAGGCCGGGCGCGGTGGCTCACGCCTGTAATCCTAGCTCTCTGGGAGGCTGAGGCGGGCGGATTGTTTGAGCTCAGGAGTTCGAGACCAGCCTGAGCAAGAGCGAGACCCCGTCTCTACTAAAATTAGAAAGAAATTAATTGGACAACTAAAAATATATACAAAAAATTAGCCGGGCATGGTGGCGCATGCCTGTAGTCTCAGCTACTTGGGAGGCTGAGGCAGGAGGATCGCTTGAGCCCAGGAGTTTGAGGTTGCTGTGAGCTAGGATGACGCCACGGCACTCTAGCCCGGGCAACACAGTGAGACTCTGTCTCAAAAAAAAATTTTTTTATCCATATCTATTCAGTTCCTGAGTTCAGACTGTATGTGACACTGCATTATCCATATCTATTTAGATAAAATGAATTTGAACAGCAAAGGGTTCATCTGAAAATATGTCCAATCTATTCTGCTTTCACATTTGGTGATTACAGGGTTTCTGAGTCCTGTATATTGAGTAGCAAGAGTTTGGATGGCAAGGGATTTATCCAAAGATTGCTCTGAATCCATTCAGTTCCTGAGGCCTGACACGTAGTAAGCCTGCAGCAGATGTCAGTCACTATCAGTGGAATAAAAAAGGTGTCTATTATCAGCTCAGTGTCTGGCCCTCAGTAAGCCAACAACAGATATTAGCTGCGGGTATAATTAAGGCGATGCATATGCCAGTAACAGCATAGTGCCTGTCACGCAGTAGGCATCAAATAGATGGCAGCTATAATCATCAGTATTATTAATAAGATACATGCCATCAGCACAGGGCCTGGTATTCAGTAGGCTTAAAAAAAATATCAGTGATCACTCTCTGTATTATTAACCACATGGTCTATGCCTGGTACACAGTAGGCTTGTAATAGATGTTGGTTATCATTAAGAAGACAATAAGATACATTTTCCAGGGAACACTGTAGCCCAAAAGATGCCAGCTTTTAGTATTATTGACAATAAGGTATAATTAGCAACCAGCAGCACAGTAGGCCTAAATGGTAGATCCTATCATTTTATACTGTTAACCATAATGTGTATGGCAGGCACTTAGTAGGCCCAAAATACATGTCAGCTATTGATATGTAGAACAATAAGTTACATGTTACCACTATAATGCCTGTAGCCACAGTATCTATTATACTGATAATATGTATCTCAAAGCAACATCCTGCCCCTGTACTTGTTACATAGGAGACTGCAGTAGATGTCAGCTATCCTTCCTATTAGATGCTACGTAGTCACCCCCATGGATTGAACCTGGCATACAGTAATCCCAGAATAGGCATCAGCTGTCAATATTGTTAAGGATGAACTACCTATACCCCATCCCCCTGGGCCCCTCACACAGTGCTTGGCACGCTGTAGGGATGGATGTCAGGAATCCATATTGTTAACAATGAAATGCCCAACCACCCAACTGCTTGGTGCACAATAGGCCCATGCTAGGTACCAAGCATCAGTATCAAGAACAAAGTGCCTGGCGGGGCAAGGTGGTTCACGCCTGTAATCCTAGCACTCTGGGAGGCTGAGGCGGGCAGACGGTTTGAGCTCAGGAGTTCGAGACCAGCCTGAGCAAGAGCGAGACCCCGTCTCTACTAAAAATAGAAAGAAATTGGCCAAACAACTAAAAAATAGAAAAAATTAGCTGGGCATGGTGGCACGTGCCTGCAGTCCCAGCTACCTGGGAGGCTGAGGCAGGAGGATTGCTTGAGCCCAGGAGTTTGAGGTTGCTGTCAGCTAGGCTGATGCCACGGCACTCCTAGCCTGGGCAACAGAGTGAGACTCTGTCTCAAAAAAAAAAGTAGAACAAAGTTCCTGTCAAGCCTGGCACGTGGTAGGGCCATCTGCTCTTAGCTGTCTCACCAGGCTCCAGATGTTTGAGGATGCCTCTTTTGGCCAAACGGGTCTGCAGCGCAACAGGTAGCGGCATAGCTGGTAGCAGACAGACCTAGGGATACACAGACAGACGGACTGAAACCCAGCTCAGATGAGGATCCTGCAACCAAGCGCCTCCTCCCAGCATGTATTCATCTGACCCCACCTATCCAACTGCACCAGTAGCTGGGCGGATGGAACATACGCACTAAAAGATGGAAGACATAGGCGGCAATATCATCAAAACTCACCAACCCGCCTCTGGAGACCTAGTGCTCCAGGACCCAGTTCCTCGCCCAGGCCCAGGCTCCACCCATTGCCGAAGGGGCCAAACGCGGCTCCCCCGCGCCCTAGAAATGGGCTCACCCAATGTCCTCCAAAGACTACCGAGAGGGAGGAACCAAAGCGCTGGGACGGGGGAGCGGAGTGCAGCACTCCTCCAGCTCCAAAAAATTGCGCCCACCCCGGCATTACCAATACAGTCGTGCAGGTAATGGAAGGCTGTCAGAATGGCCGCCTCTCTCTTATCGCTGCTAAGGTCGCCAGAACCACACGCCTTCTTTTCCCAAAGCACAGAATGAGGTTCTCTCTCCCCGAGCCTAGAAGTAACTGGGCGACACTCAGGCTGCGGTGAACATCTGACGCAAGCCGGGGTGGCCAATGAGAGTGCGCCTTTGGCCTGACGTATGACGAAGCTACCCAATCGTTGTCCTAGAATTGGTGGCAAGCTGGAGCGCCTGTGTGCGTTTACGCGGGGGGCGTGGCCCGGCTGAGGTTGGTTCTGACTGCGCCGCCAGACGCCGGCGCCATGGAGGAGTACGCTCGGGAGCCTTGGTACGGCTGTGGGCACAGACATCGGGACTGTTGCTGAGGCGCCAAGGCCAGCCGTGGGAGGCGGGCGGGAAGGCACCGGCCACACAGTGCCACGTCTTAGACTCGGGGGACTCTTAGAAACTTATTTCCTTCCGCTCCCCCCACTTGGTTCCTCCCACTCGGGCTCCGTTAAGAGGGGCCAAAACCGTGTGCCTAGAGAAGGTGTGGTACAGGACGAACCGCGCCACATTTCCCCTGACTTTCTATCTCCTAGTCCCTCCTCGTTAACGAAGAGAAACGCTGGTTGAATCCATTCCGGCCAGGGGGTGGTGTGGTGTTCAACGGAAATCCCCACAGTTACCACGCGTGGTTTTTCCCTTGTCGCTTTTGTTAGTGGGGGCGGGGCACGGATGAGCCGATTGAGGGCAGGAGGGGGTTATGGGTCCTCCCACGATCTGCTCTTGGTTTTTCCCAGTTCCGCCAGATTTAAAAAGGGGAACGGGACGGGGCTTGGTTGGACTTGCCCGTTGGAGAAGGGGTCCTATCCCGTTCTGCTTTAATAACAGTACTGGCTAGGCTGGGCGCAGTGGCTCCCGCCTGTAATCCTAGCACTCTGGGAGGCTGAGGCGGGAGGATTGCTTGAGCTCAGGAGTTTGAGACCAGCCTGAGCAAGAGCAAGACCCTGTCTCTACTAAAAATAGAAAGAAATTAGCTGGACAACTAAAAATATATAGAATATATAGAAAAAAGTAGCCGGGTGTGGTGGCGTGTGCCTGTAGTCCCAGCTACCTGGGAGGCTGAGGCAGGAGGATCGCTTGAGCCCAGGAGTTTGAGGTTGCTGTGAGCTAGGCTGACGCCATGGCACTCTAGCCCAGGCTAGAGAGTGAGACTCTGTCTCAAAAAAAAATAAAATAAAAAAATAACAGTACTGGCTAGTTAACACTTCTGTAGCGCTTATGGAAACGTGTCAGTTCTTTGCTTGTATATTCATTTCATCTTTGATAGTAAAGCAGGTGGCTGATTCCTTGGTTGGCTGTGAAGGGGAGGGGTGGACAAGGGAAAATTCCGCCCCCCACCCCTTTACACCATTTCTCATTTTAATGAGGGGGAAAAAGCGACTGGACTAGGTCGTTGTTATCTGAAGTGTTTCTTCCCATGCATGAACTTCCCATCCCACTGACTTGGTTTCTCCCAGTTGGAAAGAGTTCATGTGAGGAGATGGGGGGCTCACATTAACTCCATCCTTCCCTTCCTGCTTGCAGCCCATGGCGAATTGTGGATGATTGCGGTGGAGCCTTCACTATGGGTGTCATTGGCGGCGGAGTCTTCCAGGCCATCAAGGGCTTCCGCAATGCCCCAGTTGTGAGTCCTGCTTTCCTCCAGGTGGTACAGGGGTCAGCTGTCTTGCCCACACAGGATACTGCTCTGCAAACTGCTTGGAGCTGGCAGTTATTTGCACTTATTCATTCTGGTGCTTGCTCACCTACTATGTGCCAGGCCTGGCTCCTGCATCTGGGGTTTTGGGGGAATTGCAAACATGGCCTCTGTTTCCCACCCCCTCACACACACACCCAACTGGGGTTTCTCTGTGGAAATGCTGTGCTGTCAAAACAGTCATCACCAAATCTTAAATATGTGTGCAAAGCCAGACAGATTTTATCTAGAGGCAGATTCTAGCTCAGAAACTTAGATAGAGGGAAGTTACAAGAGCTTAACTGGCAGAAGGAGGACAGCCTTAAAGTTGAGAAAATCCTTTTAATTTAACATAACCAACTCTGTCTCTTTCTCTGACCACCCCTCCTCCCCAGAAGATCCCATCAAATGTCATGGCTTTAAATGCCATCCATTTGCCAAGGTCTCTGCAATTTATATATCTATCCCTGTCTCTTCCCTTGACTCCTGGAACTCTTCTTTCCTGGATCTTTGCCCAAGTTTCTCATTTTCAAGGTTTTAGCACAAATGCCCCCTCCTTAAAGAGGCCTTTCCTGACTCCTCAGCCACAATCATATCTCTTTATCCTATTTCCTCTAGAGTGCATATTGCTGTCTGAAACTATCTTGTTTACCTTACCCTTGCTCACGATCTGTCTCTCCCACTAAAATGTGAGCTCTGAGAGGGCAGGGACCAGATCTACCTTGCCCACTGCTGTATCCCTTGCATAAAGCATGGTGCCTGGCATATAGTAGGTACTCATTAATCATTGAATGAATGAATTAGAACTTCTCTACCCAGCTCTGAAAATACCCATATTGGGGTGCTGTCCAGACCCCTAGTTCTTGGCTGCTTCTCGACATCTATACCCCTGATACCCCTAACAGGTCTCCCATCTCCTTCCTTCTCTAAAAAGCTGGAAACCCTTCCTTGACTCCCTTCCTTACTTTTCCCAGGGAATTCGGCACCGGCTGAGAGGTAGTGTCAATGCTGTGAGGATCCGAGCCCCCCAGATTGGAGGTGAGAGGAGCTTGGGGAGATATAGGAGATGAGATGGCAAAGTTGGGGGTGGTTGATCCTTTGGTTCTAGACTGCAATTTGGGCATCCAGATTCTAGCCCCAGCTCTGCCTGGGACTTCCCAGGGGGGTGACATTTTCCACCAATTTAATATGGAAGGGTAAGAATGTAGGTTCTGGAGTTTAGATCCAGGCCCTGGCTCTTCCCTGCTTTGTTACCTTGGGCTAGTGGCTTAACCTCTCTGAACCTCATCTGTAACTCTGTAACCTGGGGGTAATGGTAACAGTAACCACCTCATCAGTAATTTTGTAGTTTATGTAACATACATATTACTAAGTACTGGTTGCTATGCTAAACACTTTAATAATATTAACTTATTTAAAATTGCAGAAGTCAAATAACACACAGTACCTCGAACAGGTCCTGGCACACAGTAAGCCCTCAGTAAACATTTTAACTATCATTAACTGGCTTTCCTAACCTGTTTCCTTCTCCCTGAAACCAAGATCAGAATTCCATCTCTATATGGTGATTTATGAAGATCAAAGTTGCTCTGTTAAAAGCCATATAAAGATAAAATCTGCTTGTAAACACTTGTCAACTCTCTATGAAGGTAAAGGGAATGTCGATGTTAATTCTAGTCTGCTTGAAGCGGGAGCTACCACAGGATGGGGACGGACAGGGAATATTCCCTGGGAGTTTGCTGTCTGCTGTTGTATCTAGGTTTTTCTTCCCTATTCTTGGCCAGAGCATTCAAGCCTTGGAAGCCCCCAGACCCTGAGATGTGGATTCTTGGGATTTCCCAGGAATACTAATTGGGCCTTAGTCTCCCTACAGGTAGCTTTGCAGTGTGGGGGGGGCTGTTCTCCACCATCGACTGTGGCCTCGTGCGGCTACGGGGCAAGGAGGATCCCTGGAACTCCATCACCAGTGGAGCATTGACCGGGGCTGTGCTGGCTGCCCGCAGTGAGTGACCCCTGCCCCCGTCCCCAACCCCTTCCACCGTATTCTGCCTGCCTTCACCTCTGTATCTCTGCCCCCTCACTCCTTCAGGTGGCCCACTGGCCATGATGGGCTCAGCGATGATGGGGGGCGTCCTGTTGGCCCTCATCGAAGGTGTTGGCATCCTCCTCACTCGCTACACAGCCCAGCAGTTCCGAAATGGTAAGTACCTGGTGGGCGATGGTCAGGGAGAGGTGGGAAGTGCTCTGCCTAGCCTCTTCCACTCATCCTTACCTGATTCTCCCTTCTCCAGCACCCCCATTCCTGGAGGACCCCAGCCAGCTGTCCCCTAAGGAGGGTAGCCCGGCCTCAGGCTATCCCAGCTATCAGCAATACCATTGAGGAAGCCACCGCCTGCCACCGCCACCATGGGAGCTGCTCCTCGCTTCCCTCCCCGCTGATCTACCTCGAAGGGAGGGCTGGCTCCCAGTTAGCCCTGGGACCCTCCAGAGAGGGCTTCTACTGTGCTCCCTTGTCCCAGGGTGGGGGTGGGGCACCCCAGCTGCCCTGACAGATGGGTCCCCTTTTTCCTCTCTCAGGGCACCCCAGCCCCACACTTACATGTAACAAGCTCTCACCCCAACTCCTTTGTGTGGCACCCTGATGAGTATTTAAAGCCAGTTTTGAAATGCCTGTGTATGGACTCCTTGAGCCGCCCATGGGGACCCCTCTTCAGGACAAGGGACAAAGCCCTCTGCAGGGACTGAAAAGCCCTAGGACTTGGAGTCTCACAGCAAATGGGCTTTAGTAACTGTCTGTGGAATGGATGAGCAGGAAGGGAGAAGGAATGAATGTGTGAATAAGGGTATGTGGGGCCAAGTGATGAATCATAAGCAGACAGAGGAACAGACTTGGGAAAGAAGTGAGGGAACACCCAATTACTGGGGGTGGGGGTGGTTCTGCACGTTGCACCCCTGACCTTCATACATGCACACCAATACCCTGACCCCTCCTCCACAAGCCCCCACTGTCAAGGCTGGGAAATCTGACCTCACAAGGAGCCCTTTCTTTCTGGATACTTGTCACTGCATTTGTGAAGATTATCCCCCAACATATGGCCTCACTATGGACCTGGAATGGAAAGTAGGGGTCAGGGAGACCCAGGGTCTTCCAAGAAGGTGCCCTGTGTCAGTCTCCCCTTCTGTCACAGAGACACTTTTCTGCTCTCCTATGCTCAGTGTTGTCAGGTTTTTTTTTAAAGGACAACCACAAAATAACCAGAAGTGAGTTTTCATTTTAGGGTGGGGGGGTTACAGATTTTTCTGGATGGAAATCAGCCCCAAATGTTGTCACTTCTGTGCAGACCTCTACATGGGTGGGGCAAACATTGTCTCCGCTGGGGTGCAAATGCCACAGGGAGGCACAAAAGCTATCTGAGGAATCAATGGTTTCCTGTGCAAATTGGTCCAGTGGTAAATGCCCTCATGGGAGACATAAAAATCGTCCCTTTCACGCAAGCCATTGCAAAGAGGTGGAAACGCCTACCCATTCTCCTGTACAAAACGGGTCCATGGGGATGCAAAGGCTGAGTCCCTGGGCCTCTCAAGGCCTGGGAGTCCTCAGAGTGATGACAGCTGCAACACCTCCTGCTTGAGCCACTCAGTACCAGGCAGTGCGAGGCCACTTGACCAAGGGCCCGGGGAGAGCAGAGCAGAGGCAAGGCCGGGGCCTGGAACCCTGGCTCCACAGGCCCTCCAGCAGCAGCACCAGGAACGCCTCTGGGACCGGCGCGCCAGTCAGACCCACGGTACCACAGGTCCACTACCTCCTTTGGTTCCGCCCCTTTTGGGTCCTTCAGCTGCCCTTGCCCCTCCAGGGCCTCATCCCCCTGTATCTCCGGATCTCGCCCGGCTCCCATCAAACGCCGGCGACTAATTCCTCCAGGCTTTTCCCTTCCGGGAGTCCGCAGGCTCCGCCCCCTAGGGCCCGCCCTCTTCCTATCATTGCGCGCAGCCCTAGGCTGCTGAAGGCCCCGCCTCCTCCGTATGGCGACTCGGGCTCGGAGGAGGTCCAGTCCCCAAGGTCTCTTCCTGGTCCCCTCCAAATGGGCTCCGCCCCTACAGGCCCCTTACTATGGACAGGTTCCCGGCCCTCAGCAGCCTCTACCTGTTCCCATCTTCAGGTCCCGCTCCCAGGTCCCGCCAAACACCCGGGCACTCCGCCCACTTGTGGCGCCCCTGGGATCGCATTCACATTCCCAGGTGCGGAGGGCGGCCAGACCTGCGGGGCCTTGAATCGGTTCTGCGCGCCCTCCAACCCGGGTGTCTGGACTGCTCTGGCTCCTCCGTGCCCTGGCCGGGGCGGGGCTCGGAGTGGGATGCTTCTTTTCCCAGAAGAAGGGAATGCGGGCTCGCACTCTGGGTTGTTTCGTTGGGGAGGGACTACAGGGACCGAAGGAGGGTGGAAGATGGAGAGAACAAGAGAGAGGAGAGAAACGGAGATGATGAGATGAAGAAGGAGAGAGAGACGAAGAGACATGCACATAGGGAGATAGGTGGAGAGGTAGAGAGACAGATGGAGGCAGAGAGAGACAGGCAAGAGATAAATGAAAGGAGACAGAGACAAGGAGAAAGGGCAGAGACAGTAAGAGAAATACAAGAAGTCGTATAAGGGTCAGAAATGCAGGTAGGGAGAGGGAAGGTATTGGGCATCAGATGCAGGTAAACGCGGGAGAGAAAGCGAGGAGAGGGTAGAGGTGTGAGCTGGGTTCAGGGGCTAGACCTGCAGGGAGCTGTCAGGCCGCCTGCCCACCCAACCACCTGCAAGGCCACAGGGAGGCAGATGCCTGACTTGCCCCATCTTTCTCTCTCTGGCTCTGATTTAATCCCATCTACTTCCAACAAGGATTTTGCTCAAGTTCTTCCCCCTGTCCTTTTCCTGCTTCCTCCCCGCCTTAGCCCCATGTCTGCCTCTGTCTTGATCTGTCTCTCAGCCCTCCCCCATTTTTCTGCTTTGGTCTCCCTGGCTGGTGGCTGTCACACTGTGACTCCTGTGGCCCCGGAGTTTGCCACCCACTTGTCTGCATGGGGAGAAGGAAAATATTTGGTGGGGGAGGAGCATTAAGGAGGTGGACAGAATCAGGGAAGAGCAAGGAGGTCCAGCCCCGACAATGGGGTGGGGGTCACCTCGCCCACTTCCTCAGGAAGAGACCCTGAAAGGCCAGGGAGAGAGACAAAGAGAATCGGAAGGATAGGGAGAAAGACGCAGATAGCAAAAGAGAGAAGCAGGAGTTTACAGAGAGACCAAAGGAGAGACAGATGCAGAGAAAGATATCAAAAAAAGAGACAGAGAAGGTAAGAAAGAAGGGAGAGAGTCACAGCAGAGAGAGAACTTTACTCTGAGTCTGGGGGTTGCTGATCTGAGAGTTCATGTTTCCTCTGTTCTCTTAGTGGCACTTGGAGAACAGCAGACATGCAGGGCAGCTCTGACCCCTCCACACACACCCTCCTGCCACCTTTAGAGATCAGTGCTTTGATCTTGACAACTGGGAACCATCTCAACAGGCCCAGCTAGGGCCAACGAATGGAGCTGATAAATGGGGACCATCTCTGGGAAATCTGCAGCGTCATCAAATTACCTGCACGTTGAAGAGGAGGGATGTGCCAAAGATCACCTCTGAGGTGACAGAGTGACCGTCTTTCCTTTTTTTTTTGAGACAGAGTCTCACTCTGTTGCCCAGGCTAGAGTGCCGTGGCGTCAGCCTAGCGCACAGCAACCTCAAACTCCTGGGCTCAAGCGATCCTTCTGTCTCAGCCTCCCGAGTAGCTGGGACTACAGGCACAGTGGCAGCTGGTCTTTCTGTCCTCATTTACATTTGAAGAAACTAAAGCACAAAGAGGTTAAGCAACTTGCCCATGGCTATCCTGCCTGAAAGTGGCAAGGCTGGGAGTTAAATCCTTATTTATTTATTT